TTTGGTTTCAATAATTATGGTTCGTGCCGTTTCAGCCGGAGCTCTAGAAGACAGGCAGGGATTTCGCGTTGAAAATGTCGATACGAAGTTGTCTGACGCTTTCGATGAAGTTTTGTAGCACGAAGTTGCGAAGATGGAAGGTTTCCCGGAGTGTTGGTTGATGTTGCAACGGCTAAGTGTTGACGACGAAGAGTGATATAGATGATGTTGGGATGGAAATTGTGATAACTGAGAAATGGAGATACCGTAGTTTCACGGTTACTGTCAATTTCATACGGCAGAAAGCTATTTCATTGTAACGTTAATTCTCCGAAATATTCTGAATTAATTTTCCCGAAGAGAATCGTTCTTCTAACCCCAGAAGAGCTGCCTGGGTCAAAAATGACCCATTAGTAACTTCTCAATAGCGAACTTTTACGTATCGAAAGCCTCGTTGAAAAATTAGATTCTCATCCGTAGAAATGAAAGTCAGAATGCTACAAACGAACGTTCATTTTTTTTCACAAAGTTGCTAAAGAGTGATTTCGACTCGGTCGACGTTTCTAGCGTTGAAAATGTAGAACTACCCTCTCTCGCGGTCTTCAGAAACAATTCTCCCAAGAGGACCATATCTCCCAGAGAGAAAAAAATCTAAAACACTCCCACATCGGTGAACCACCATAACCACACCTCTTTCACACGCGAGCGAATACAAAAATTTCCACGCTATTACGATCGTTTCCCGGAATCTCTCCACCCCGAACCGCGTTCCGATCCGAGTCGCGATAACGATGCCGCCGCGATACTTAATGGGACGAGAGAACGCGATCGATCCTCGACCGCGGAACATCGAAAAACGAAGGGAAAAAAGGGGCGAGAGAGAGAGAGAGAGAGACACGATGGAAGTCAGTGAAGCGTGCCGCGTTAAGTCAGACTTCGCCTAAAACTCGTTTTATCGGAGTTCTATAAATTGTGGCGAAAAGGCACGGCACGCCGCGTAGGCTCCTCCGTTGAATTCGCACGAAAACACAGTGCCGCTAATTTCATAGGAGCCGATGATTTATGGTCCGCTGCAGCGTTCCGTTATTGCACCGGCCACGATGGAACAAGGATACGTCTCGCAAGCCTCACGGAGCGTAAATGTCGGCTGGTGACGCGTTAATAGGCAGCTCGACCTTGACTTTTAAGCAGCGTAATTAACGAATCAGCGACACGCTGCGAGAGAAAGAGAGGGAGGAATCCAAATGGACGATGGGATCTGCGAATCTTGTTGCTCCTTAACCCTCTCGCAGATTTTAGCACGCGGCCGTAAAATCCTTTATTTCGGCGTACTGACAATTTTCTTTTTCAATTTGAAAATTTGTCGTTCTGAAAGTTAAGGCGGAAACACGAATCAAGGTGAAAGTGTGTCGAAAGGCGCGAGACAATTATCAAAGCGTCTATAGGCAGCGAAAGGGTTAAAACAGCTTCTTCTGTGTTTAACCCGTATTTAAACTCGGTTCCCTTCTCAAATTCAATCTCCTTAATTTATCGAATGAATGAAAATTATATTGCAAACACGAACTTGATATGAAAAATCCCTTGATAAACAAACTACTGTGCTGTACTCAATTTTAAATCAACTCGTCTTCCCAGTTAACAAAAACTGACGCGCAATGGAGCGAAAAGTATTAATTCATCACGTACACTAAGTACCGGCCAAAAGTTTGGGATCACTGTGCGCTGCAAGTTACATGAAAATTTACAGAAAAAAGTAAGCAATTTCAAGAACTTTTTAACGAATTTCTTATAATTTATATTAATCGAAACGGGGTGAATTGCTATTGATCCATGTCTATTGGTCTATGACAAGTGATTCCAAATTTTTGGCCGGTAGTGTATATACTACATAAAAGCGATAGATTATTTCCAAATTTGAAAAAAATCCTTCTGAACAGACTGATACTTTATAACTTCAACGAAAGATCGCAAGCAAAACTTTCCAACGTCGATTCGCAAATACCGCATCTACCTATATATCGGTTCGATCAACTATACAAAATAAAGACAACGTTCGCGTGGCCCTCGAAGCGATCAGATAGAAGTATCGACGGCAAATCCCAAGATGGAAATATCGATAAGGGCCGTGTCACTCACGCGAACACGCTTCTACCCCTACTAACTCACGGTTACTCTATGAAAACTCCACGTGCAGACTTAGCCGCGCCCCTCTCGCCATCCCCTTCGTCCATCTTTCACCCTCTTTCTTCGTTTCTTTTTCATCCAGCTCGTCCCTTTTCTCGGTCTCTCCTTCCACCCCATCGCGACTCATCCCGCCGCGAGAAACCGTCCCCTCGTCCCCCAACCCTCCCGTCTACACGCACGCCATGGGGTAGTTTAGCATCTCAGCCCTACGACCATACCTCCCCTACCCGCGTCGCCCCGTTTCTTCTCCTTTTTTGCTCTTTTTTTCTTGCTGCTTCTCCGAGAGAAAAAATTCGTGCAACGGTTTCACCATGTGAGGCATTAGGGTGTCCAGGTGGGACGGTGATCGGTTATGGTAGCAGGAATCTGGCCGATTGGACGGAAAATTCGACGTGTGATTGAATTGTATTGGATGGATCGGGAAGACTGATTGTCTCTGTTAACCCTTTCGTCGACGTTCGTAGAAAATGTTTATTTGTACTCTACGTGTGTTGCGGGAGGAAGGAGGAAGATGGGAAGAAATTTTTATGTCCGGGAAAGGTTTAAACGCTTGATTTATGACTTTCTTTTGCTGAATACGCGTAAGTTAGTTACTGTTTCAGTACTGTATTAGATGAGAAAACTGGTGTATTATAGATTAATTATGTTTGGTAAGCCTCAGTCTCGTGAATTAGAACGAAAGTCGGAATTGAAATTAACTGTTCTCAGTAATACAACTGTTTTCGTCGCAACATGACCAAAATCTGTGCCACAAGGACTGGCTTGTTATAAAGCAAGGGGTTAACGACCTTGTTCACTGGTGTCCATTGTAAATTACACGATACTTCACATATAACTAAACTTTGACCATAAATAAAACACTTGATATTTCGTGAAAACTCTATATATGAAATATTTCTGTTAAAAAATTGAAAATATAATCACACGGATACACTGCTAGCGAAAGGACGAACAGGCAATCCTTCCAAGCTTGCCACCTCGTACTACAAACCTTGATTAAAAAGAAGAGTGTCTTCCCAACTCTCGCTTCACATAATTCACCTAACCGATCCTCCGCTGCATCATAAATAAAAATATCCTCCAACCAGGATATTTGCAGCGTCTATTAAAAAATACCAACGAGCCTCTCTCTCTCTCCCTTATCCTTCGGCGAAACGATGAAAAAAAGAAAAAAGCCAAGAATAAAAGTAACGTTCTCAGAAATAACGATTCAATTATTATTCCCGCGACAGTGAACAATCGCAAACGCGGTAAACGTCGTTCATGCTCCAAGGCGAACCGGTTCAATTTTCATACAAAGCAGCGCGCGAGTGTTACGCGCGCCTGTTTCGTCATCGTCCAAGGCAAAAAGAAAAGAAAAAAAAAGGACGGTTTCAAGAAGAAGACGAAGAAGAAGAAAAGAGAAAAGAAACACGCACACGCGGCGAAGAAATATAAAAAAAAAAAGCGTCATGTTGTTACAAGGTGGATTAGCAAGCGGCGGCCGCGGCGGCGGTTTGGAAAAATCGATTCCAGCGAACGCGTCGAGTTAATTGCCGTTGCTTTATCGGCCACACGTTTTCCCGGCTGAATTTTGCATTAAGCCGAGCGGCGGCCATTTTAAATATTCCCTCCTCGCGAGCTTCTCGAGGCGGCTCTCGGCTATCGCGCGAGCGTTTGCAAGCATATAGACTTTGATTGAAATATTACCCGCGTGTCAGCCGCCCGGTAAAATCCTATAATTACGATAGCGGACTATTAATGATTGTTTACATCGTTTCCAGCGCGAAAATTACTATACGCCCTGGCTAAGACAGAGAAAAGGATAGACAAAGAGCGAGAGAGAATAACGTGGCTTGTTACTTGGAGGCTCGATAGAGCCGAAACGTCTCCTCTTCCTTCTGGTTACATCTAGCTTCCCTCGTTATCTCGCGACAAGTTTCTTACCAGATAATAATTACCAGAGATGTTTCGCATCGACACGGAATACCACGGGCTTAGAACTTGGCCGAAAGTTCGGAACGAACGCGGCGGAATCCTCGATGAAGCGACGCCTCAGACGAGAACGTCTGCATGGGGTGACTTCGAATCGCGCGCATTGTTCGCGCCATCCACTTCCGCTCTTCTACCACTCCCCCTACCTTCTACCCTGACACGCCTAAATGATCATTAATTAGGAAGCTGTTTGAGTGTGCTGTAATCGTGCAAAAAGCGTACGTTCTCTTTAGCGAATAAGGGCGGCACGGTTGTTTATGTGCCTTCTTCTCTCCCGATGGTGTTAACCCTTTCGTGCTTCAGAATCTTCTTGCTTGTGTATTCTTTTCGAAATCGTGGTTGATGTTCAAGCGTGACTGTGTGCGCGCGTGAGATGCTAATGATGCGTGGAATGTCTGGGACGTAAGTGGAAAAGCAGGGATTAACAAATTAGATTCCATTAATTATCGAGGAAAAAGAACAATACGAAAGGTTCGTAGGAACACTTTCACGGAGGATTCCGTACGTTAGACAGTGTGAGAAGCGAGCAACAGTACTTCTCGACACTTTTCCGAGAAACAGCCGGGGTACACTTACCGCTGATAACCAGCGAACACGCAACGTAATTATAATTTCTAATAAGCTCTCATTAACGCGGCGATTTGACGACTAATTAGCAGGCTCAGGTGTAACCTTTATTAGAGCAGACTTATTCAGCGCGACGAACACGCCTTTTGTGCCTGGCAAACGATCACCTCGAGATTCCACCGTTCGATAACGAAATATTCCGAGTCCGCGGCGAAAGAAAGAACTTCTGCTCTGAGGAATTGCAATTAAAGAACAAATCAAAGGGACAATACAAAGGGTGTGTTTACACGTTACAGAGAACGGCCTACCGAGGAGACTGAGAACAGCCTACACGAACACTCAGCTCTTGGAGCTGGAGAAGGAGTTCCACTTCAACAAGTACCTGTGCAGACCGAGAAGAATCGAGATCGCCGCGTCCCTGGACCTGACGGAAAGGCAGGTGAGGATGTTCTCGAGAGAAAAGTCCAAACAAAACCATCGTTCTCTTCAGCCTCTAAATTCGCCACGTAAACGAACATTTCGCTCCTCTGATTTCAGGTGAAAGTCTGGTTTCAAAATCGACGAATGAAGCACAAGAGGCAAACGCTGAGCAAAGAGGACGGCGACGAGAAGGACGGATCGACGTCCGACGGTATGGAGAAGTCGAAAGGTGAGAAGATGCTAACGCTGGACAGCGACGAGAAGAAGAGCTGCCACAACTGTGATATCTCTGGCGTGAGCGACGTGGGCAGCACTCTATCCGGCGACGTGACAGAGCTCACATCCTCCGGTCGTCGAAGCAGCAACAACAACAACACGCCTACAGCAACGAACAACAACAACAACAACAACAACAGCAATCCGGCGTTCAACGCGAACAGCAACGGAGCTAGCAGCGTCGGTAGCACCAACAGCGTGTCCAGTTCGTTCGAGAAGATGATAGCGGACGACGACTCCAGGTCTCAAGACGGCAGCGAGGTGACGTCGCCTAGCGTCGCCAAGAAACTGTCCAGCGACGTTAGGGTGAAAGTGGAGAGCGGTCACAAGAGTCCTAATCCGGGCAAACAGCAGATTTCCGTCAGCAAGAAGTCTCCGTCGGCTAACAGCAAGGAGCTCTGCTCGGTGAACAGCAACGGAGTGCTACTGGCTATGCCTGATTCTACAGTTAGCACACCTGTACTGCCCGGTCAAAATTCCACGAGAAGCCTGACGCCGTCTTCGACGCCAGGCACTCCTGTCTCTGTTCAATTGCAACAAGGAAGTCCTCTGGGTATTCAGGCTACTCACGCAGCCTATATGCAGAGACCAAGAAGCTCGCCGTCGTCTACCAGCTCCGTAGCTGCTCCCATGATGCACGGATCTACCAATGCTGGAACCATGTCTCCACATGCCGGAAGAAATCTGAGTAACAACCAACAGACGCATTTCCAGCAACAGCAAAACGTCTACCAGCCGACGTCAGCTATAGACTACAGGAATGGCGTGCCTAACAGACAGGCTGTACCAACAGGAACCCAGCAAACTCAGTCTCAGAACAACTACTGCACCAGGGACAGCTATCAGCAGCCTAGAATCTCGTATCCAGGCGAAGTTCATCCTCTCTACGCCAGGCAGAATCAAGTGCTAGGCTCGAGAGTAGGTCACCACGTTCGCGCGACGACAGGTGCCGCTTCTAGGACGATGTACAACGCCAGTATGCAGTTCCATCAGCAACAGAACCAGTACACCAACACCGGCGGAGAGTACAACGGCTATCCACAAGCTGGCCCGCCTTATCACGCTTCCTATCACCGATCCATGCAAGGCAGCAACGCTTACACCAGCGGCCAGGGTTACTCCGCTCAGCACGAGCAACCAGCCGAGAGTTACATGGCGCCAGGCAACTACGGCTACCCTAACAGCGGGAACTACCACGCAACCACCGAGAATCTAGCTTCCCATGGTCACGCCGCTGTCTCCGTGCAAACCGGCCAGCACTACTACAACGACATCCAACAGCAGCAGCAACATCAACAGCAACACACAGCAGAGGGCTACGTGACGCATCAGCCGCCTATGCATCCAAGTTCCAGCGATTACAGAGCCGGTACCAAGTGTCATCCGAACGCCTACTACGAGCAAACCAGTCAGATACACGTCCATCAAGGCGGAGAAGCGTCGAACATTCCAAACAGCTACGTCTCGTCGCCGGATCCGTTCCCAGCCCCGGGAATGACCACCACAGCGACAGCAATCGCTGCTGCCACAGCAGCGGTGATCACTCCGCCGGGAAGCGCGGCTCAGGCTGAAGGCAACGCGGACACCTACAACTACGGCAATTTTTACGCGGAACCTGTTCACACAGCAGCTCCTCCGCCATCGGCGGACAACAGCAACAGCTCGTCCGATTTCAACTTCCTGACGAACCTGGCGAACGACTTCGCACCGGAGTACTATCAGCTCAGCTGAGTTCACGAGACGGAGAATCCTTGTCAGCTGGACTGGAGCGACGAGCAGTGTCTGTTGAACGCGTTGTACTGATCGTCAAGGACGATTGTCGACGCACAGTGGTGTACAAGGACGTTTTCCTCGTCTCGCAGAGACGATGGATCGGTGTAGGAGTGTATTTTAGTTGGCTGATTATGGACTGTCGATTCGTGGGAGTTTCGTTGCTCTTCTCGGCGAGAATAGGACGAAACGGTGAAAAGGAGTGAAGAGTGGAAGACTGTTTCTCGATGGAGGAACAATAGAGAGAGGCGTTCTGTGAATTGTGGTAATTAAAACGGGACGATACGAACAATCGAAACGACCACGTCGATCGTTGTGAGAATTCGGTGTCTTGACGTACGGAACGCTCTGTTCTCCGAGTGTTAAACGATCCTCTGCCTGTTCGATTCGAGTCAAAGTGCACCGGTGACGAACTCTTCTGAATCATCGAAAAACGTCGAGGTTTTGAACTGTCATCTCCAAGGGGATTCTTGGATTATTTCAGAGGAACACTTTCGACGATCTTCAAGCCGGCCGTCACAATCATCTCCGTCCGTAACCAATGATTGCTTCAACTATACTGACGAATAATTGAAACAAGTTCGTCGAGAACGCGTGTGGAAAGGCCGGCTAGTAAGTGGATTCGCAACGGTGTGATTCGCGACATCGGCAGAGAGTGTGCGTGTGTATCTGTGTAAATAAATTAGAAGTAAAGAGAAAAAAAAAGAAATGGAGGAAAATAAAGAGGTGCAAGTGCAATCTTTCCGAGGCGCGTAAACGATTTCTATCAATAGCATAGCTAATTCGAACGGTGATCGAGACGAATCCTCGAACGAGAGAAATTCGCGTTGCTTGTCGCGACGCCATATTGTCGCGCACGCGGACCGTCCGTCGAAGTAACGACGAACATGAACCACTTTCGTTGTCTGCCGAGCGAAAAATACAAGAAGAAAAAACGTACATTCAGCTGACTACGAGAGAAGAGAGAGAAAGGACGTTTTTCAAGTGTGACATGTCGAAGGGTAGCAATCCACGAGCAATAATTCCTAGTGAGACAAACGCGTGTACATAAGAGAAGAGAAACCCAGTGCGAGTCGGGAATTAATTTAACCGGTCGACGATTTCCATAAATAAAAAAGCGAAACATAAAGAGTGTCGGTCGTGAGTAAAGACAGAGAAAAGAAGCCGTGCAAGCGTGTACCGTAAGCGATGACGGAAAAAGAAAATGACGGAACTTTAACGGAAGTTCGTTTTCGCTTCTGAAACGACCGACACTTAGTCGTCGTTCGGATATTTTTCCACGTCTCGAGAGAACGTCTGAACGATCGAAATGTCGAATAGTCGAGCAAACTTATCTTTCTGTTGACGTTCCTCGCGACACATTTCTGCTCTTTCAATCTTACTTCTCTCTTTGTTTCGTTTGGTTTCTTCAATCACACCGAGAGAGAAAGAGAGAGAGAGAGAGAGATACGTGATTTCATTGCTTCGCGTTTAGAGTATACGAGAGGGGACAAAAACACGCACACTTGAGCGTGTTTTTGTTTTTTCGGGAAGATTTCTTGTACGAAAGGGAGCTCGAATCATTTTTTTCACAACGGAGAACGAATCGACGCGATTTCCAAACCGAGACTTCTCTACGCGTGACAGAAACGAACCAAATAGAGGATCGTCGAAGGAGAAACAATAGTTCTAGGCCACGTAGCTTAGATAATGACGCGTACGAGAACCATGAATCTTCACCACGAGCAGCGGGAATATTTAAAAAAAAAAATAATAGCGTTCGCCACGCGTCGTCTGGTTTGTATAAAATAACAATGGCATTTTAGGAGAGCCCGCGATCGTTCACACGAGAAATTCTTGTACATATAGCGCGCTTACGATAATCGTACACACACCGACACGTATTTTACGTGCATACACACATACCCTTACACGTTGTTTATTCAATTTCTGAATGTATGATTAACCTCACGCGACAAGGCGATCCGAATGGTGTCTCTTGGCGCTTGTGAAGAACAGAAAATGGAGAAAAGCGATGAAGAAAAAAAAAAAAATACGACGACGATGATCGTCGTCGTCATGTACATTCGTTCATACACAGAGAAACTTGAGAAAAAGACACACGTACACATAGACACAGGATTGTTTCACCATGTACTTCTGGCTGCTCGCGTTTTCGTCCAACCTACCCCCTCTCCACGGATTAATGCAGTAAAACCGATCATAAGTGGACATGGAAATGGAAGATAATAAAAGATATCATTATAAAATTAAAGAGGAGCGTCGTTACACCCTTATTATTCCCCCTTTTTGTTGTTTTCAAGGTTAAAACGATTGTTCTTTCACGATTGAGTATTTTAGAATTCAACCGACGCTTCGAATATCGGAAAATCCTGCTTTGAGTGGGATTAACGTTGAGCGATGAGATTAGGAATTTGGGAAAATTCAAATTGAAAGACGAGACTGGGAATTTGGGAAAGTTCCACTTTAACTGAAACTAAGATTGAAGATTTTTGGGGAGAAAATTCTACTTTAAGTAAAATTGGTAATTTGGGAAAATTCTACTTTAAGCAAATTGAAGTTGAGCGATGGGATTTAAAATTTGAAAGATTCCACTTTAACCGAAATTCAAATTGAAAGGAAAGA